TTGGCTGATCCACCCACAAGGCTCTAAGTTCCCTGACGCATGGTCATAGAGGATGGACGCCAAGGGCTCCATCTCCGGCTTCGCTTCTGTCACACCTTGTGATCCTGGCCTTCCCTTCCCCCTTCCCCCTGCACAGAAGGCTCCTTCCACCTCCAGGCTCCAATTAACTCATCTGACTAATAACACCCTGCCATTCTGCTAACAACCCATCAGTCAGCCAGGGGACTTGTATGGGGTAGTGTTAAGTAGCGGGATAGTCAGGAGCCAGTGCCTAAGGGTCTCACTGGGGCACATTGAGAAACCCCCATGGGCAGTCTCAGACAGTGGACAGAGCAGGAGCCATCTGGCTCCTCTGTGGTGCTCGCATAAGGAATCAGCCATTCTTACTCAGAGTAAAGCCTGATAGCATCAGCCACCCTACATCCGCTTGACGTGAAGTGTCTAAAAACCTACCCTGGCGAGCGCGAGGTTTGTTTAACACCAGTACTCAGGAGACTGAGGCAGGTAGACTACTGTGTGTTCGAGGCCACCCTGGTTTATATAGTCAGACCCTTGTATAAAAAAATAAAATAAAATAAAACCCAGATACCTCTATAGCAACCTTCCCTCTCCCCTTCCCTCATTCAAAACAAATCGTGTAGGGACATTTTCACTGCCCCCACCTCCCACCCGACTTTCCTCCTATTGCCTTCAGCCCAGCCTTCATCCTAGTCCAAATCTGGCCATCTCTGGACCCCTGCAGCAGGCCCCAGTGGGGATCCCCACATCTCTCTTTCTCCAGCCTGCAGTCAGCATGGCTCTCGATCGCTCTGGGTCACAGCGCCGATGCCACCACTCTGCCCCGTGAATGTTTGCAGCTGTTTCGTGTTGCTCTTTAAAGAAAGGCTGAAGTCCCTGGTGACATGCTCTGCCTGGTAACCTTTCCCTGCATCTTGTGTATTCCTCATCCGCCTCAGGTACTACCCCAGGACAAGATTTGTGATTCTCAGAGGCGATATATCCCTTGCAGTGGCATAAGCCATCTCTTTCCTGGAATCACCCAGGACTCACCTTTAAGCCAGGGCAGGCATTTTCATTTCAAAACATGCAGCAGAATTTTAACATGGCCCCTACCTGACTTCTGAATAAATGAATGAATGAATGAAGAGAAGACAACATGGCTTTGGTGTTCACATCTTCAGTTCAAAACTTGTTTCTGGGCATCCGCGGTCTTGGGCTGGGCAGGTCCTGACCTCCGACTGGCTGGCCTGAATTCCAGTGAGACTCCCCAGGGCAGCTCCGTATTGATTACAAGCCATCAATAATGCATCCCTTCAGAGGGGCCTAGGAAGCCATTAGCTGGGCCCGCAGACTCTGATGCATGGCCTTGGCTGCATGTGCCCCTGGGAAGTTCCCATCAGCCTAGGCAAGAGGGCTCCTAGCCCCACAGAGCTTGGGAAGGTTACCTCATGGGCTCTTAGTGACCTTCAGTACCTTGTTTCTAGAGAAGTGGCCCCTCCCTCCCTGCAAAAGAGTCTCCAGTAAGATCTGCAAGCCTCCTCTCACACCCTTGAGACTGCCAGCCCCGTTTGATTGCTGGGTTGTTGAGATCCGGTGTCTGGAGTCAGGCGTTAGGACCTGTGACTGTGTTGGGGTTAGGGGTCCATGTCAGTCCCAGGTTTGGGTTGAACACATAGCAAGGACTCACCATCATGTGTGACCAAGTTCAGGGTTCCGTGTACGGCCAGTGATGGAGACTGAGATTACTGACTCTCTACTGGGTGTGTAACAAGGATCAGAGCTTAGTTTATGTGGCACAATCTTTGTCTCTACTTCAGGCTATTGAAGCTCAGGCTGTAGCCAGAATTAGGCTCAGTCTGAAACCACAGGACTGAAGAAACTAATTTTACTTCATGTCTTCAGCAGCACCCGAATGCCTCCTGCGTATATAGACCAGTACAGACAAGGTCCGAGTTTGTGTGCTTTTGCCTCTTCTAGGGGGTGTAGGGTATCCCAGCGTGGGTGCGGCACGGCTCTTACTGGACTGGAAAAATCAATCTTATCCATTTCTGTTTCCCATGACACTGTGCTAGTAGCTTAAACTCAGCCAGGAAGAGCATTGCAGCACAGTACAGAAGGGACATACACTGTGAAATAAGCAGGTTTTGCTTTGGTTAGTTGGTTTTTTTTTTAATGTTTGCTTTGTTTTATTGATTTTTGCATGCAAAGTAGCAAGTTTCTTCGTGGCATTTTTGTGCCTACGAAGGTCTTATTTCTTTTCTATCAGCACACCACTGGGGGTGAGCGGTATGAAAGATAAGCTAATGAGTGTTGTAACCACACATTTGCCTCTCTGGTCGCCTCTCAGATGCCACCAAGATGAGGGCTGAAGGGAGCAGCCAAGTGCGTAGAGCTTAGGAAATAGTCTTGTAGGTTGGGTCAAAGAGGATATGGATTTCAAAGGGCTTTAGGCAAAGTGGAGAAAATAGTGACTGACATGGCCACAAAGGAGGAAAACGGGGCCAGTTCTGCCCTCAGAATCCTAGAGATTCTGGGAGGAAGGGGGCATAGTGTGAAAGGAACATCAGGGCAATGGGATTGGGTAAAAGTCTATTCAGAAATTTAAAATACTCCAAGGCTTGTCTGACCAGGAGGCCAGACTCCACCCTCAAAGAAGCCATGGGTTTGTCCTCTGGAGAAATGAAACCAGAGGCTCAGCACAGAGGCTTCGGATTGGACAGGTGCCTGGGGAGAGAGACACAAGGCTGAAACAAGAGTTAACAGAGTCTCCCTCCCAGGCGATGTCCTAGCGCCCTGCCCTGCTCCCAGTGCAGAAGCACCCACCCAGAGGCCCATCAATGACAGATTAACAAACTCTCTGGAAACATGAGTGGTCCCAGACACAAGCGTGCAGATACTGACTCTGGGAGCTGTCCCATGCCAGGTCACTGCTAGGCCATTCCGGTGGCAGTAAATGCTTTCAGCTGCACTCATGGTTTACTTTCATGAAAATAAATGAATTAGGGGCTGGAGATATGGTTCAGCAGTTAAGAACACTGACTGCTCTTCTAGAGGACCCGGGATCAATCCCAAGCACCCACATGGCAGTTCACAACCGTCTGTAACTCCGGTTCCAGGACTTCTGACCCCTCCACACAGACACATATGCAGACAAAACACCAATGCACATAAAATAAAAATAAATCAAAAATGAAAACAGTCCTGCGGTGTGGCACAGTTGACAGAGTGCTTGTCTAGTGTGCAGGAGTCTTCGGGTTCCAGTCCCAGAGCTGCATAGAACCAGGCACAGTAGCATCCTAGCACCCAAAAGGCATGGGCCAAGCATCAGAAATTTGAGAGTCTGAAGCTAGAGGAGACTACATGAGGCCCTGTCTAAGAAAGAAAGGGAGGGAGGGAGGGAGGGAGGGGGACAAAAATATCTCAGTGCAGTACTGTGATACAGAGAACTCAAAGAGGCCGATGTGACTGAAGGTCTGGTAGGCTGCCATAGATGGGAGATCAGGATAAGGCCCTCAGAGTGGAGATCAACCATGTGATCTGGGATGGAGGAAATAGTTGGGAAAGTGCCTTGTGCCTTTACAGAACAGCCAGAGACTTGAGGAAGCAAGTTGACAGGGCGGGCAGACTCAGGCTGCTGTGTGGAGGCTTTTTGAGCCCAGGGCAGGGAGTTTGGACTTTCTCCCAAGTGAGGTGGTAAACCACTAAGACTTATGAACAGGGTGTCGTGATTTGATTTAGGTTTGCCAGAGCCCATATGTGAATATGCAGCTGTCAGTCAATGGGCAGCAGTAGACCTGGAGACCAGTGAGCTGCATAGGAAAACACCTGAAGATGGAGCTGGACTAGGGAGTGGGTGGGATGCCCAGAGGACAGTTTGGGCTGTAGCTAACATGGAATAAAAACAACTGAGGGGCAGATCTGGGGAGACAGTGGAGTGCTGTTCTGACCAAGAGAACGGGCTGCATGGTGATAGTACAGGGCAAGTCTCACATTCTAATAAGGGGTCTGGGCTGTTTGGGGGCCTTCTGCAGGGACAAGTAGGTAACAGACAGCCTTGGCACCCTCGCCAGGTTAGACGGGGTACAGTGTGCACTTTGAACACTAGATGGCAGTGAATACTCATTGCTGTTTAGCCCACACAGACCCTTCATTGTCCTACACACAGATATCAGATTTCTCCTATAAGATTTGGAGCGTGGACACCTATCTCAGTCGCAAACGCCAGACATTTAGAAGCCTTTCTAAGAAGCGTTCTAACAGTGATGATGATGGCGATGGCGTCACCGCTGAGATTTTTATTTCTTACCACGTCTTCAGAAAGGGTCATAAAACCCATCTACATACATCTAGATATAAAATTGCATCTACAAACCAGGAAACTGAGGCCAGAGAAAGTGAAAGGGCCTTTCCAAGGTCACAAATCTCGGCACTATCTAGCGGAGAGACGTCTCCCACAACTCGTGGAAGAGGGAAATGGATATTACTAGAAGACAAATAAGCTGGACCAGCATGTATGTGAAGCCAGCACGCTTAAACTGTGCTAGCTTGGGGGTGGGGCGTCTTCTTACTTCCATTCAGCACCTGTCGGAGCCGCCTGAAGAGGGTTTTCCTGTTATTTACTCCTTGGAGGCGCACAAGTAGCTAAAGGCGTGTTCAAATTCGATTTCCTCACCGCCGGTCCAGCGGTCCAGCGTGATCTTCCTACAAACGACAGCTGTCTTTCTAGTCACCGCCATTTTCTTAGAGTAGGGCCTGGCCTCACAGTACCCGAGACAAGTGGTCGCACTTACTGCTCGTTAAAGGTTCCGATGTGTTTAGTGTTGGTGAGAGCACACTGAGGAATGCAGCGTCCCGCCTTTGGATGCTCAGCCCTTCTATCCCTACATCCTAATACGCCGTCCAGGTGCAAAGCTCCGAGTAAGGTTGCGACCCCTGTCCCCACCCCCAACCTTCCCCCACCCCAACAGCGCACCCACCCTCAACCCTTCTGTCTTTTGCAGTTTGAGATCCGGCAGCTGCGCGCGCACCTGGCCCAGCAGGACCTGGATCTGGCTGCGGAGCGGGAGGCGGCGCTGCAAGCCCCACACGTGCTCAGCCAGCCACGCAGCCGCTACAAGGTGGTAGAGGCCGGCACGTGGGCCGAGGAGACTGCAGCCGAGAGCATTGTGGAGGAGATGAGGCCCTCTCAAGGTGAGCCCACGGTCCCCTGAGTCCCAAGGATTCCTTCCTCTTCCCACTCCATGGCTCTGCACACAGAAGTAGGGACACAGGATTCCAGGTAGTGGGGTGACTTCTAGAAGGTCTGTGCCTTCTCATCTGCCCCCACCTGTGGTGGCACTCAAAAATCAGCGCCTTCAGAACTACCTCCCAGAGCCCAGGATCTAGCCAGGATCTTGACACAAGCTAAAAATTGATCAGATCCAGGAAATCCATTCAAATGCCCATTGTGAATCAATAGTTGTTACTTTCCTGTACTTTTAAAAAAATACCTGACAAAGGAAGGAAGGTTTTGTTTGTTTGTTTTGCTTTTTGGCAAATGGTTACAGAGTGCAGCCCATCACACCTGGAAAGCTGCAGGGACAGGTGGAGTTGGCACCTTGTAGCTCCAGTCAGGAATCAGATGAAAAATTGGTACTAGCTTGCTTTCTCCATTTCTATTCAGTCTGGTGCCCCAACTCGTGGGATCGAGGATGGTCTCCCAACCTCAACTTACCTAACCTGGACATTCTCTCACTGTTCTCTCTTGAGTTCAGCACCTCCATTGCCCAGATGTGTGTCTCCTAGGTGATGATTATCCTGTTAAATTGACACCAAGATTAACCATCACTGTGGTAGGTGGAAGTCTGAGACCCTCCTGGTGGACTGCCACATACCACAGTTCAGAAAAGAAGTTCAAACTGAAAACCAGAATAGCCTGTGACCGAAGTTTTGCAGATGAGGCAAATCGAGGGCTGTAATGTGAGTGGTAGAGGGGACCTGGGACAGTACCTGAGACAGTACCCAGCCAGGTACCACACCAATGGAGCTGTTTCAAGATCCAAAGGCTACTTCTTTGTCCAGGCGGCTCTGACCTGGGCAGGGTCAGAGCTTCTCTGGACCCTGATTTTTTTTTTTTTTTTTTTTGTGACAGGGTTTCTTTGTATAACAGCCTTAGCTGTCCTGGAATGGAACTAGCTCTTGTAGACCAGGCTGACCTCAAACTCACAGAGATTGCCTACCTTTGCCTCCAGAGCACTGGGATTAAAGGCGTATGTCACCACTGCCTGGCTTGGACCCTGATTTTTAGCTGCTGTAGGGTTGTAAAGAAAACAGCCACACAGCTAGGGAGAGATGATGTTGGGCCTAGACCTTGGACTTTAGATTGTCAAAGCCAGTTTGATCCGGGAATGACTTTACCCTTTGCAGCAAGGACAGGACTAGAAAGAACTAGGGAGGCTGCACTCCCTGGTTACATAGCTTGAGGCTTTGGTGGCCTTGCCTCCAGCTCCATTGCCATACAGGGGGTATAAGGAATCAGTAGTGAATCTGTCCCACCAGTATACAGCAAGCTTCTAAAACCATTCATGTCACCCCTTGCATAATACCTTAACTGGTTCCCTGTGTTCATTCTGTAAAATGCCCAAGTCCCTTAGAGTAGAATGGTTGTTTGTTAGATGTCTCTATCAAAATGTCACAGGCTGAGAAATCTGAGCAACAGAAATAGCCTCACAGTTTTGGAAGCTAGAAGTCTGAGATCAGATTGTTGATAGGGTTGGTCCCTCTGCCATGATGGGAGTCTGTCTGTTCCTTCTACTTCTGTAGCTCCTGGTGGTTGTTGACAATCCTTGGCGACACTCAGTCTCTGCCTTCATCTTTACATGGTGTCTCCCTTTATGTCTGTGTCCAAATTCCCTATTTCTCTAGGTGTACCCTACTCTAATATCGCCTCATTTTGACTAATCCCACTGCAGGCATGTTGTTTCCAGATAAGATCACATCTTGGTACCAGGAATGGACACTTCACTCTAACACATTGGGAGGAGGGGGGCACGGTGGTAATGGACACCCTGTGAGATGCCTTCCATGCCAACTCCTGCACCCTGTTAGCCCTGTGACATCCCTGGGTACCTCCCTCTCTTTTAATGCACACTTACTTTGTGTGTCACAGTCACCCACACACAATCCAGTCCTCCATCTGCATTTTCACAGCGGTCCCCAGAGCCCTCGGTGGCACAGTCAGTGCCTCGGAAGCAGAGGGCAGGATGCAGAGGCTGTGAGAAGCCTCCATGATTCATGGCCTGTAGTAGTCCAAGGACTCGGGGCATCCCCCAGCGGATTTCTCTCTGACCAAGAGCCATGGCCAGGGTGGGATTTCCATGACATTAGAAATCACAGTCAGATGAATGAAGAGCATCCTGGGCCACTCTGAAGATTAAGAAAGGGCAACATTTGTTAGTAGCTGTGACTTCCAGGCTAGTAGGGCTCAGAGGCCCTCTGCATGCGCAGTAGGACACAGACAATCCAGGCGTTAACCTGCAGACACAGCAGTGAGTCACAGGAGCCTTGGGACATGGCCAGCATCACCGCTGCGTGGCTGTCACTCCTTAAGTGGGGGAGGGCTGCTGCGGAGGGCCAGAGCTCCAGAGCCAGCTCCAGCCCAGCCTCATTCCTCTTGAGAGGGAAGAGCTTCCCCAAGTTGCCAGCAGGTCACAGTCAGACTGTGCCGACTGGCTTCTGTTTAGACTTGCTTTAGCACAAATCATTTTTAAAACCAGGGCTACAAAGTTCCAGGCTTTGGGGCCTGCCAAGTTCACAGTGCCCCTGTATAGTCATTAATACTTCTCTCCCAAATTTATTAGTCTTGAAACTCGCCCATAACTTATGAATTACAGCTCCTGGTAGGGGTGCCACGGATTTCACCATATATCACAACTTTGGCGTCCCCCTTGCAGCACCGGCGTCCAGAGGAACAGCCACAGAGGTGCCTCCGGCCAATCTGCCCTTGGCCTTCCCTCTGCCAAGCAGCAGGGAGCAGGAAATTGAGCTGGTCCCAGGGTTTGTCTTGGAGGAGATGGGACCTGTGCTCCTGGACACAAGGAACCCTTGCTGACCCCAAGTGTGTGGGCCTGATAAAAGTGTTGGGGACCATAGGAGCCCCAGGGCTTGGTGGATAAACCTAAAAAAGCCTGAGACAACAGAGTAGCTTTTGAAGTAGTCTGAGTGAGTTTGGAACCCAGGTCCGGCTTGAATCCCAGTTCAGCCTTGAAGGTCACTTTGCCTCCCTGAGCAGGGCTGTCTTGATCTGCACAGTTACATAGGACCTTGGCTTTCAGGTCCCTGCTATTGGCACCCTAAAAGTCGTGGTGCTTTCTGAGCTACTTGGTTCAGCAGCGTGTCTGGTCTCAGAATCCCGGAAGCTCTTCACTGAGAAAGCGTGGGGATTCAGTCGTGTGTGCTGCCACCAGGCCTGGCATGCGGCAGGTGCTCGGACGGACGTTAGCATCTTCTCTCAGTGAGGGCTGCTGAGTCTTGGAGGAGCGGGAGTATGGGAGTAGGAATCAGGGCACAGCCTCTTGGGCCCTGGGATGTGTGGTTCTGTGCCAGGCACCTTTGCCACTCAGTCATATGGAGCTTAGCCATCTCTATCTCCAGGAGGCCTGGCCCAGCCACCTCACCAGCCTTTCTCCTTCTTCCTTGACCCGGAGGTCTGTGGTTCTGGTCAAGGGAGTCAGTGCCACCTCTGAACTCAGAGAGGCTTTCCCGGGATTAGGCAGGTTGTGTTTGCAAAGTGCTTACTCCTAGGGATGAGCGTCTGCCTCAGAAGCATCCTGAGAATTCAGAGCCAGCAGGAGTGCTTGTGGGCCTGTGAGGACTGTCTGTGGCTAGATAACTCAGTGGGTTTTCTAGCTGCATAGCTCCCCAACAGCTTTGCAGTTGTCACCCCTACTTTATAGGTGAGGAATCAGAAGCCCAGAGTGGCTGAGAGATTTGCCTGGGACCACACAGCAAGTGTCCACCCCAGACTGTTTTCAACTGAAGCCTATGTTTGCACCTTCTCGCCCCACAACCAAGGTCTGTCAGGCTCAGTTCTCAGTGAGTTGCTTCCGCAGACCCTTAGGGTTCCTCAGTGCTAAATCAAACAGACCTTGAAGGAAGGGCTTGATGTGAGGTGGAAGGTGAGCAGTGCCTTGTAAAGCCGTATGGTTCAGGCATTCCTCTGCCCCACACCCCTACCTCATACTGGTCACAAGCCTCTTGTTTGGTGTTTGAGTTGGAAGAGGGAGGACCCAGGGTATCCTGGGTGTAGAGGGCATTTCATGGTGACTCTGTGGCCTCTTGAGAGGGATGGGAAAGTCTGGAAGCCCTGAAGATCTATGACAGGTATTGACCGAGGTTTTCTGTCCTGCCCGGTCCTACAGCCCTTAAGTCCCAAAGAATCACACAGAGGTCTACATTAGTTATTAACTGATTGGCCTATTAGCTCAGGTTTCTTATTAACTCTTGTAACATATATTAGCCCGTAATTCTTGTCTGTGTTAGCCACATGGCTTGATACCTTTTTCGGTGAGGCAGTCACATCTTGCTGTCTTGCTTCCTCTGCGGCTGGGTCACAATTGCAGACTGAAATTTCCCTCTTCCCAGAATTCTCATTGCCATGTCTCTACTTCCTGCCTGGTTGCCCCACCTATACTTCCTGTCTGGCTACTAGCCAATCAGCGTTTATTTAAAATATAAGTGACAGACCACTGTCACACAGAAACATATGCCAAACCAAATTACCAAGGGAACTGAGTGGCCTGTGGCCCCTGTATGGATGGGGACAGCCCCAGGGTCCTTTTCTAGGAGGATGGGCTCCAGGAGCCTGCATGAAGCATAGAGTGCCAAGTTCAGCACTAGAGGAGACAGGGTAGGCCTCAGACTTTGAAACGCCTGTGCAGCACAGGTTCTAACCCTGAACAGGACCCCAGTGGTCACCTGCCAGCCAGGATTGGTATCCAATACATTTATTGGATCGGCAAGGCAAAGCCTAGAGAAGAAGCCATGAGGTTCCCCCCCACCCTGAGTCTAGAAGCAAAGTCTTGGCAGAGGGGTCACGGTCCCTTGACCAGCCACACTGTTGATGGAAGTTGGGGTGCTGTTAAGGAAAGTGTGGAGGCCCGTGGCAGTGGCCAGGACCTGTTGCTGGGATGGGGGGGGGGACGTTAACCAAGGCAAAGGCTGTGGGACTGGGGAGAGAAAACATGGATTCTCTTTGGACTTGTTGAGTCACAGGAGCTGGAGGTTGCCCAGCTGTCCAGGGACAGATGGCCAGACCAGTCAGTGCTCAGGAGCATGGTCTTGGCTGACAGTCACCTGACTGAGCATATTTTTATCAACAGCCTGGTGAAGATGCAGCATCCTCAGACATGTAGGCTGCAGACTGAGGAGACGGGACTCAGGCACCTTGGTGGCTGAGATGTGCGATGTCCTCAGCAGGCAGTTCTGGTCTGCCACTATCCCCCCCCCCAGGTCTGGGGTGGTGGTGAGGCATTGAGGTGGGAGTCACAGGAGTGCAGTGTGTTGCGGGGTCAGCGCTGGTCTTGCCTACAGAGGAGAGCAGGGTTTCTATTGGCCCAGAGCTTGGTGTGAGTCAGCAAATGGAGTTGCTAAACACATTTGCAGGGTAGAGGCTGCTTCAGGGGTATGATTATTTAGTTTTAAAAGGACTCGTATATTAAGCAATCCCAGTCTGGCAGGGCAGTGGTGAGGATTACAGTCACAGGGCAGTTGCAGGCTCAGTAAAGCCTTGCATTTAGTAGGTGTGCGTTTCCTGATGAGATGGAGAGTCCATGCTCCACAGAGGGGTGATTGCTCACCCTCCCAGCCCCTGACCCTGCTCCCAAGGCAGAAACTCCTTGCTTTAACACCTGGCAGAGGTACAGGTACACTGTGGCCCTGAAGAGCACAAAAGAGCCAAGGTTGCCCAGTAACGGGTCATGGCAGACTCTCCTTGGAGAGGTAGCAGATTCTTCTCTGCTGTTCTGCCCAGTGAGAGAATTGGCAGGCAGGAAGCATGATTGCTCTCTGGGGCTGCGGGGTGAGACGGATGCTTCTGGAACCATCTTTCCCTGTCAGTTTCTGGGCTATCAGGGCCATCTAGCCATGAAGGCCAGCTACATCAGTCTGTAAGAGCCTTGCTAGGGACCTTCATATAATAAGGACACTGAGTTCCAGCAAGGGGTTATGACCTGATCAAGCTCTAGGTAAATGGTGGCACCGGAAACTAGCACCTGATTAAGTGAGCAGCCCCTCTGTCTGACCCCTTGGCCCTAGTTCCACCACGGCTTGCTGGGAACAGTCACTTCTGCTTCCCAGCACAGTGGCAGAATAGACGGCAATTATAGCAAAGGTTATGGATGGCCAGAGAATCTGTGCTAGCTGATGCAGGAGCAGGGCCGGGCGTCAGCCACAGAACACACCTCTGACCACAGGCGTTTCAAGACCAAGAGGCTGAGGAAACTTTTAAGATCCGTTCCTCTACCACTCGGCCTCCAGATCTGAAGGTGGCCCAGCTTCGGCCGCCAACTCAAGTGTCTCAGAAGGTAGCCTCAGGTCTTGTTACTTGTAGGCCTCAGCAGGCAGATAAGCCTGAGGGTGTGCAAGTCCCTAGCAGCCTCCACAGCCTTCCATGGGCATGTATCAAATGGCTTCTGTGCGGCCGGCTCCACTCTTGGGAACCTGACCTGCCTGGTAGCTCTGTAGTCTTCCTCATCATGCAGCAGTGCGCCCGCCACCCTCTGTTTTACAGCGGCTCAGAGAGGGCGACTTAGCTTAAACAGTGACATAATCACACGCACCCTTCTCTGTCCTCATCTCTGCAGAAGCCATGGCAAAGGACGACATGAACAGCTACATTAGCCAGTACTACAATGGGCCCAGCAGTGGTAAGTCTGGGTTGGAACTGTTTGCATGAACTATGCAGCTCCAGGACGCCTGTGACCCCAGCAAGCCCTAAACCCAAGGCTAGGTACAGTCTGGCCTGACTTCGGGTAGCAGGGCCTACCATTGTGACCCTGTAGACTTTGATAGCAGAGCTCAGGGTCCAAACACCTGGGGTTCAATACTCAGCAGACTGTTACCTGAAACTCTGATGCCCTGGAGCTGAGCCTGCAGATGCCAAGGTCAGGGCAATCAATCTCTGACCCATGATGGTTGAGTGTGGAAACCTACAGAGGGAGGGGGCTGTAATCCAGAACTCAGGTGATCTCCCACCCCAACCGCAGACATGCTCAGGTGGCCCTGAGGGAAAGCAAACTTTCTCAACCTAACTGGTTAAAGGGACAGCAGGCCTGGCATGCTTTATACTCTTGAAATCTTAGGGGACTTACTGTCCCCTAGTGTGTTTTCTTTGGGGGACAAGATTGATTTTATATCCAGATCTTTCAGCATCTTGTTTTTCTGTAACCAAAGTCTTAAACACTGAGTTTGCATTTCATGGTCCTCAAAATTCTTGCACTGTCCACTATAAGTACAGACTATATGCAATACATGTGACCTCTATTTGATTATTTTTCTTCTCCACTATTTAACCCCCCTAAGGCGACTCTTCTCTTTTCTGCTTTCTCCCAGCCTCTTCCAAACTGCTGGTTTTCCAGCCTTGACCCATCATCTCAGTCCCCTCCCCTTAACTTGGGGGAGAAACCTATAGTTCTACACCCAGAGTAGTCCACCATCACCTCCAGTGCTTCTCAGTGAAAAGAGCTGCTGAATGCTGACTGCCCCGCGGCTCATCGGTCTGCAGAAAGCAGACTACTCAGGATGTGCCCGCCCCCAGTTAAAACGCCTTCAGGGTGACAGGTGGATCCCAGGGGCACTCCGGCTAGCCAGCTGGTAATTCCAGTCTCCATGAGAGATCCTGTCTCAAAACAATAAGGTAGAGGGTAGTAGAGGAAGACATCCAATTCAACCCCTAGCCTCCACACTTGTACTCGGGCAGGCACTTCTGCTCTCATGTGCATGCACACGTAACAATAACAACAACAACAACAACAATAATAAACTCAACAACTCCTTAACAGAATGCTTTTCCTAGGACAAGCTTTCTGGGGTGATTGAAATGGGCTAGCTAAGTCTATTGTGGAGACATTTTTGCCTCTTAGTTTAAATAATGACCCACAGCAAGCTGTCTGAGACTGTACTCCCAGAGCATCCCAGAAGACAGCAGCCTCCGCTGACTAAGCAGTATGGGTCTCGAGGGCAGGGCTGGCCTCTAAAGCTTCCTCTGGGAAGTGTTGTGGCCCCTCTTCATGGGTAACTGGTTGAGTGTCACAAGTCTGAACTTTGGGTCAACAAAGTGGATTGACAGCCATTCCCCTCAGTTCACACAGTGATAGTGACCTGGGTTCTCAATGGCCTCACTATGGCTACTTCTCAAGGCCTGGCCACACTTACTGCTCAGACCCACACCAGTCCTTCAGAGTCCAGCAAGGTGGGCAGAGGCAAAGTATGACCAATATTCCCTTTCTTGCAGACAGCGGGGTCCCAGAGCCAGCAGTGTGTGTGGTCACTACAGCCGCCATAGACATCCACCAGCCCAACATCTCCTCAGACCTCTTCTCGGTGGACTTGCCTCTGAAGTTCAGTGGACACAGCACCTGCGCCAGTGCCACCTCGGAGACCACTTCCCACTCAACCTGTGGATCAGTCACCAGGGCCCAGAGTGCCAGCAGCCAGACGTTGGGCTCCTCCACAGACTGTAGCACCCCCCGAGAAGAGCCGTCCTCTGAGCCAGGACCTTCTCCCCTGCCGCTGCTGCCACCCCCTCAGCAGCAGGTGGCAGAGGCCACCGTCCAGGACCTGCTGTCCTCCCTGTCCAAGGACCCCTGCCCATCCCATAAGGCCTTGGACCCAGCACCCCTGTCCCAGCCTACCCCAGCAGGTTCAGCCCAGACCAGCCCTGAGCTGGAGCGTAGGGTAAGTCTATTCAACCAGAGGAACCAGGAGGCTCTCCCTGCTCTTCAGATCAGGCCTGTCATCCACTTGCAGCCCACAGCTGGGCTGGAGGAGAAGTTCAGATCTTTGGAATCCAAAGAGCCCAAGTTGCATAGGGTTCCTGAGGCCTAGAGAGTCTGCAGGCTTGTTGAGTGGAAAGTGGGGAGACAGCCATCTTGAAGCTCTTTCAAGACCCCAGAGGCCACTCAGGACCACAAATGGGGCTCAGGATCCCGCCTGGCCTCCCTCAGGGTGCTGTCTGCCTCCAGGGAGGTGATGCCAGGCAGAGGCCACACGCCTCAGACCTCAGAGTCCAGAGCTGGGGCTTCCTCTTGCCCTACTCAGGAGAGGGTGGTGCTCATGGCTGGGGGTTGGGTTTTTTTTTGTTTTGTTTTCTTTTGTTTTTGTTTTTTTTTTTAAACCATTTTTACAAAAACCAGCCTATGGCCCAGCTTCAGCAGGGTAGAGCGTGGGGGCCAGCTCCGCCTATTTCGTTGCCTTCGTTCCTGATGCCCACCCCGGATTCTCGGGAACAGCACTGTGAGCTGGGGCTGCCCAGCCTCACCCCAAGCCGTCTTTCCAGGAATGCTGGGGGAGCCGACACAATCATAGAGACCACATCTGAGCCGATCCCACCCGGCATTCTCTCATTTCAGCATGGATGTTTCCAAGTCTCCACAGGCCGTGACGGGACGATCTCGAGGCGGGAGGGATATGGGAGGGCAGGGGCAACCATTTTATGACCCTGGCTTTAATAATAAAAACCAGCTGCACTGAGACTTCCGGGTGGTTTTTGTTTGGTTGCCAGTCCAAGGGACGTTGTCTAGAGCGGCTCACTGGGGGCAGAGTTAGCCAGGCACCTGCTTACCCAGGCTGCTCTGTCTCCTCTCTGGCAGCCTCAAGGCCTTTACAGAGGGAACAACCCTCCACCTACCTATGTAGGGCAGTGCGTACTTCCCCTCCCCCACCCCGTGGCAGAATGGAGCTCACAGCTGTCTTCCTTCCCTGGCAACTCCCAAGCAGCCACTGGACCCAGTGGTTCCACCTCTGGGGGCCTCAAACTCAACCTGGTCCAGAGCTCAGAGTTCAACATTTTGTCCACAGTAATAATTTTTGTTTGCCAGCTGCCAGTCACGCACTTGCATGACATCACCAGCTCCCTGCCCATCCCTGGTCGCTCTCTAAGTTACCTGACCCCAGCTCCCATCCTAGCCTTGCTGAGGTCCATGTCCTCCAAGGGGCTGGACTGCGGCCAACTCAGCCTGACCTGGCCTCTCTGGCTTTCCCTGTTCCATCACATCCTCCCAGGCTGCTCTCATCTCCCCTGCCCCAAATCTGTCCCAGTTTTGTGACTGTGACCATCATGTTTTCTCTTATGTGTGGGGCGGGGGCAGGGAGGTAAAGTTTGCTGGTTTAAGGGTTCCTATCTACCCCCCACCCCACGAGGACCAGAGTGGGAGCCACAGTCACTTATGAAGTAGCTCTCACTCTCAAATCTTTCTCCTCTTCGCTCTTTATGGGTACTTGTAGTATCAGTGCCTTGGCTGCAGTGGCCCCGCGTCTTCCAGCTCCTGGGTCCACTGAATTAGCCCCGGTAGGGCAGCGGTCCCTCACCTGCTCCTCTGCCTACTTCTTAGGTTATTAGACCTGGGTCCTACTTAGAGGCCCAGGGCGCAGCCTAAGCGCAGAGCCATGCTGGAAAAGGCGGAAGAACCACAGAAAAGGAGGGAAATTGCTCTGCGTAGGCCAAGACCGCTCCAGGTTCATGAGATAATGGGGGCACGGGAGGATTGCCAAGTTTGTTCCTAGCACCGAAAAAGAACTGAACAACCATGAGAGACAGAAGAGGAGGCCACAAGGAAGGGAAAATAACAGTTTTATCCCTTAGAACTGGGAGGGGCCTAGGGCTGGGAGTCTGCTAAATGGACAGACCTGGTATTTTATAGGGCCCCAGGGTCCTGGCTTTCCCCCTATTGGTTCTATACCATCCCCCTACACCCCCACACCCTCCCCAAGTCCTCCCCCACGCATGGCCGCATGTCTTCTCATCATTTTTCCTCAGTGTCTTATGAGAACTCGAAGTTGCTATCTCCCAGAGCTGGTTTCCCTTCCCTTATTGACTTAGGGCCCTCTCCCCTCCCACACACTCCCCTGACACTGATTGCTGTTGGGGGAGGGCCAATGGCTACTCTGGTTGCTTCCTGCTGACAGGGGGTGGAGTTTAGGAGCTGTCAATCCAAGAAAGAAGGGACTTTTATGAGGTGGGCTCCTGGGGGCAGTTCAGCGGGTTTCAGCAAAATTCTGGCAGGCAGTCCATGTAGTGCCCCATCTGCAGGACCATCTGTAGGAGCAGAAGGGTCAAAGGACTGAGAGGAGGATGTTAGAGGCCACTGCAGTACAGTCCAGAGTAGGCAACAGTCTGAGGTCCCTCCTAGATCACACACACACACACACACACACACACACACAGAGAGAGAGAGAGAGAGAGAGAGAGAGAGAGAGAGAGAGATCTGAGGTCCCTCCTAGATGAAAGAGACAGCGACAAGAGAGAGAGAGACAGGGGAGAAATGACATAACCATCATTTGATTTTTAAGTTTAAACAATAGTGGGCCTAGATCTCTTGGCTGCAGGGAGGCACTGCAATGTTGGACTGAGCCAAGACCATGATGTCCTCTGTCTGGAAATAATAGTCACGGGCCTTTATTCTTTGGCGGTTTTGTTGCTCTCCTTTCTCCATCACAGAGCCAGGGGGCCAGCCTGACACAGAAAGGAGGGCTTTGGAAGATATTTTGAGACCAACATACTGGAGTCATGTGTTAGGGGAACTATCGCTATGATGAAACGCCATGACCAAAGCAGCCTGGGGAGGACATACACATCCACTTCTCTGTTCTTTGTGGAAGGAAGTCAGACAGGGACTCCAGCAGGGCAGGGACCTGGAGGCAGGCGCTGATGCAGAAGCCGGGGAGGGTGCTGCCGACAGACTTGCTTCCCCTGGCTTGCTCAGCCTGCTGGGGGTCCTTTGGGAAGACAACTCCTGGTTATACAAGCTTCACGTGTGTGACTTGGCCTCAACTCTGATGTCATCCAAACGGAATGGGTTCATTAGTCCTCTCAGACTCTCCAGCAAGATTCTAGGCACGTGCTGGGCCTGCATCTAGGCCAATGATACTCTGCCTGTTTTTCAACAGAAATTGGAATCCACCTTCCCTAGTACATGTGCAGAAAGGGTGAATCCTACACCTAATAAGTGGGCCCCTCTGTTGCTTTTGAGTGCAGCTCTGGGAAGGTGTCCTTTATATGACAGAAGCTGTGATGTGCTTAAGAATTGCAGCATACCGAACTTCTTCCAACCAGAAACTGATCTTGGTAGCACTCAACCATGCTCGCAGCTGTGGGGATGTTGTTACATGCCGATTGATAGTTCCTACTAAAGGCTACTGTTTTATCCTCCAGTTTATGACAGGTCCGCATGCAGAAAAATCAGGCATTCTTTTCTAAACAGCCATGGGTCAGGGTACGGGGGCAGGGGGACTCTGCTGCTGAGACATCTATGGCACGAAAGGGGATCTATGAGCCCCCTCTCCAGAGCATCCTCTGAAGGGTTTCCTAAGATGGGCATGGGTACCCATGTCCTCTCCTTTCTCATTAGCAACCATGAAAGGAAGGGGGCTAGGCCAAATATCTGCTCTTATTGATATGACTCTTCAATATCCGATGACTTTAATGAATTCCTAATATTATATGATCCTTCATACAATCCTTCTGGAGGAAGCGTTCCCGTTGCCCCCTTTTCTCAGGCTATGATCGTAAGTGAGCATGACAAGCACCTGGTGTGAAAGTTTTGTCCTTCGTCTAGAGAAGAACGCTCTTTTTCCTTGTCTGGTGATGTCATAGCAAGCAGGAGCGCCAGGGTGCGATGGGCAGAAACAAAGGCCAGCTGCACAGAGGAGAGAGAAGGATTGGAGACGCCAGGCAGGGGCACGGGCATTAAGGTCCCAGAGCCCTCATCTCCAGCCTCCCACCCAAACAAGCTGGTCCTCCTCAGCCTCTAGCCGTTACCTGGGAAACTGCTGGGGAGGCATAGGGTCGTAGACCCTTTCCTTTCTCCTATTGGTCCTGTGTAGATACCCATCCTTTGTCCCCATGCTTTCCCTCCCTTTCTCCTCCCATTGCCTTCTGAGCAGAAAAAGCAGCTAGTATCTCATACATTTTGTCTACCTATGTCCGTCCTCTAACTGAACAAGAGGGCGACAAAGGTGTTGAAGGATACCCAACTGGCATGTGAGGGGAGTGGCCAGGCCTATTCTGGGGAGGCTTCTGTGAGGACAGCAGCCTGGGAGATAGGTTGAGTCACCAGTCAGCACAGTGAGGGGTTCTTCCCATACTTCAGCGACCCTGTGAAGCCGGTTGATGTCCATATGAAATGTCCTCAGGTCCACACTAGTGGGAGGGCCATTTGGTACCCGGCTAGGCATCTGTGTCCTCCCAGTGTTCTCCCGAGCACTTGGAGGTGAGGCTATTCCAATCCTCTGTATCATGATGGGCATGATGTCACTACAGGATTTGCCATCTTCAGGACTGGACCTGCAGGGTCAGTAGCCAGTCACCTACCCTGTAGGACTGAAAGCAGCCACCTTCCTCATCCATCTGCCACTCTGCCGAGCTCTGTTGTCCCCAGTTCCGAGCTACTGCAGCTGATCAAGCAGATCACCAACCAGGCCGTGGGCCAGATGAGCGCTGCAGATCGGCTCAGCCAGCACTGGCCTCTGCCGCGAACCGAGCTCCAGCTATGAACCATGGGGCTGTGGAGGAAACCTTGGCATGAAGGTTTTAAAGAACAAGAATACCACTCTTTCATGGAGTAGTTCTTACACTGAGTTGCAAAACCATTCCACTTTCAGAAAACGTGAGCAGGGAGGCAGGTCAGACCCATAGAACAAAGAGAATGTTGGGGTGGAGATGGAGAGCCAGCCGTGCAGCAGAGCGCAGCACCAGGAGGTGGAGGCCTGCGAGGGCAGGAAGGAGTCTAGTGTTAGACGGTGTATCGGCAGGGTAGGGCCATGTGGAGATTACAGAAAAAAATCAGTGGGGCCAGCAGGTCACTGCGGTCCTGCATGTGGCTTGTTCATGCAATATGCCTCAGAAGAACTTGCAGCGAACCATCATGGCTGCAGTAGGATGACTGTCCAGAGAGGGATCAGCAAGATATAGGGGCAGAGAAAGAGAGAAAGAGAGAGAGAGAGAGAGAGAGAGAGAGAGAGAGAGAGAGAGAGAGAGAGAGCCTGATGGGTCTGGGCGTCCCTGCATATACAGTGCAGGGGAGGGGAACGGCAGAGAGTAGAGAAGTCAAACCCTGGTGTTAGGTGTCAGATCCTGGAATGCGGAGATGGCTGCCTCTGCTATTGTGAGCATACACAGGGTGCCAGCTAGCACTGCGGTTCTGTCTCTGAACTCCTGTCAGGACAGAAAGCAGGCGCCAAGCCTCAGTTATACCCTCATCACAGAAATACTCCGAGGCAGGTACTGGAGACCTGTGATAAAAGCTTTGGTGGTTGGTGTTCATGGCTCTCCAGAGTGCTATAGCTGGGGGCCTGTGGAGGAGGGCCAGCACTCCTTAGGAGGTCTCCAGCTCAGAGAAGAGGCTCCTTGCTCATTACTGCTTCAGAAAAGCCCAGTCTGGGGTCCCAAGGGAGCTGTTTGAGACTCCCACAGAAGGGGGCAGCTTAGGTAGCAGTTGCTGCCTGGTGTAGGAATACAGTGGCAACAGTCATGGC